GAGCTGGCTGCCTTCTCTGAGCTGAGTCATGACATCCTGGCTAGGGCCTCTCCCCAGCATCCTTCCCCCACCCCCTACCCAGCATTCCAACTCGGCACAACTGCCTTCTAGAGCAGGGACCTGGGAAGGGCTCCCAAAATAGCCCTGCCCACCCCATGGACAGATGGGGAAACTGAGGCCCAGAGTGGGGCAGGTCCACCCTACAGGTGGGTGACAGAGCACCCACATCCCCTCACTCCCAGCCAGGGATCTGTCCCCTGAAGTGTGTCCCAGAGGCTGTGAAGTGCCCCTGGCATGGAGGAGAGAGCACTTGCCTGCTGGTCAGGAGACCGGGATCTATCCCGTTCCTGCCAGCATCTTAACAAGCCGCTCCTCTGACACTGTCTCCAATCCCCGCTTGGCTGGGGCGGTGCAGGGAGCATGACTCCGATATAAAGGTCTGTGTGTAGCAGAGGAGGGGGACCCTGTGTGGAAGGAAGGGGCAGCCGCTGTCCTCTGAACCCTGGGGCCTTGAGCCACCAGATTCCCATCCGAGGCCCAGGCTGGAGGCAAGGGCTACCCCGACAGGTGAGCTTCCGCTCCCCACTAGCCACCTGAGCCCAGTCAAAACCCTGGGACCTGTTGCTGTTCTGCTCCCAGGCTCAGTTTTCCCGTCTGTACAATGGGGCTGAGGAAAAGGGTTGGATAGGTGGATGGTCCCTGAGGGCCATGGAGCTCTGACATTCCAATACTAACCCCTCGACCCCATGCCAGGCCTCCTCCTCCCTCTGGCATCTTATTCATTCAGAACATCCCTGGCACCCTCTTCCTCCTCAAAGCAGGGCTCCCTCCCACCCCCAGCTCATTCCTGCCCAGCCTGCTCCCTGCTGCCAGACGGAGTGTCCCTCTGTCCCCTCAGGTGCCCACAGCCCCTCCACAACTCTAACCAGCTCAGTGAAGCCCTTCACCCTGCCCCTCTGCTTCATTCTCATCTTAGCATTGCCCCGGAATGTACCCACCAAGCCAGAAGCAGGGGTGGGGCTCATTATGATAGCTCTTCCTTTAACCCCCCCAATATCTAGCCAGCAGGTCCTGCCGTTGCCAGTGAGATAAACCTCAAACCCAATTGTTTCTCTCAGTTTCACCACCCTCTCCCCGGCTCAAACCAAGTCAATAGAGAAATGCTGGTAGAGCTCAGTCTCTGCTGTTTCTTGGCAAGTTCCTTAAGTGCTCCCTGCCTCAGTTTCCCATCTGAAACGGGAATGATCACGGTACCTGTCTCACGGAGTCAACTGAGGAGCAAGTGAGTCAAACGCAAGTCAGGTGCAGCAAATTCACAGCACCCTGGCTTTGTGGCCCGCCTGCACACATATATATGGATGTGTGTTCAGAGGAGTTTGGGGTCCCAGGTGCATGTTCTGTGTGCATGGTGTACGTGCACAGGTTGTTTGTCCTGGGTACATATATGATGTGCCACACACATGTGCACCTCCTGTGGGCGCTGGGAGAGCACACAGGCTGTAGTCTGCTGCGTGTGCATGTGTTGGGCACAGTGGGAGCTGTAGGCGTGCGTGTTTTGTGGGGACGTTGCATGCACATGTTGAGGGTCTGCCTGGGGGCCGGCGCGCACATGGCCCGCCGTGCACGGACGTGTTTCTGAGGAGCGTGTGAACGAGTGCGTGGGCAGGAGCCTGTGCTGCGTGTGCACGTGCTCGGGGCGCGCGGCCTCCGCCCCTGGCAGCCGTGCAGGCCCCCCTCCCCGCCTGCCTGTGTCGTGGGAGCCTCAGGACCCCGAGGGAGGGAAGCGGCTGTCGGCGGATGTGGCCAAGATGGACTGGATTTATTTAGATTAAGGCGGTGGGAAAGGAGTGGGGACTTGTGTGTGCAGGAAGGAAAGAGGGCTGGGGCTCTGAGAAAGCTTCGCCGAGCGTGCTTGCTCCCCTGGATGTGGGGTCTTTGCTCTGCTCCCCCAAGGGGTCCCCCCTGATTCACTGTGAGGAGCTGGGCAATGGATTATTCCATCTTTGGGCCTCTGTCTGGCTAAAATAGAAGAAATCATGAGGGCTCCCTGGCACACGGCATTCTTCTCAAGGGCAAAAGGGGACTCCCTCTCTCTGTTTCAGGGGCCTCCCTGGGCAGGAGAATACGGCAGGTAGGGGGGTGTCTGTTCCCTGACTGGGACACCCACCTTGTCCCAGGTAGCTCTTCGCTGGAGAGCAGCCCTCCCCCTGAAGAAGGGAATTGTTACAGGCAAGCCTCTCCCTTCCCCTCCCTTCTTGCTCCCCTGTCCCTCAAATCAGCTGTCTGGCCTTCTCTGGGGTAGGCTGGACCCATGACAGCCTCTGGGAAGCCCTAAGAGGTCCACACGGCGCTGGGTGGACAGCTGGGGGTGTCAGGGGCTCATCTGGGATGGCCCAGGAGGTCATGTCCATGTGCCTCAGGCCACACTCTGGTCCTTCCTAGGCCTTGGCCTGTTGTCCATGCCACCCTTCCCCTGCCACCTCCTGGATTCCATGTCACCAGTTTATCTGTCTGGAAGTCACCTGAAGAAATGAAGCCCAGAGAGGGAAACAACCTGCCAGACTTCACACAGCGAGTGTGTGGCTGAGTGCTCAGGGAGATGCAGTCCCTGAAATGAGATGGTTACGAATTCTCACATGACTCCAGCCTCAGCAATGCAGCCCCTCCTCCTCCTCACCCCCAAACCACCCAGCAGTGGCGAGAGCCTTCCCCTGGCAGCTTGAGAGCAGGGATGGCTCTTTGAGACAGGCCTTTGTGAGGGAGGGCTCCTGGCTCCCTGTCTGGATAGAGACAGAGTCCCAGAGCGAGCTAGAGACTCGCTCCATCTCGTGGGGGGTCTGAGGCCCCTGTGACCAGAGCCAAATGCCCATTTCGTAAAGAGAGAAGCCGGTCCCAGACCCTTGGGCCATCCACCCTCTCTAAGGTGTCTGCACTTTCCCCTGAGTGCCTCTGGACAGCCTATCTCTCCTCTTCCTAGGGTCCGATTCTTCTGCCTTTTCGCTGTGTGACTGGGCCATGATTCTGTCCATCTCTGGGCCTCTGCTGCCGGTTCAAGGAGACCCCTCCCAGCGGAGAACCTCAGAAACTCTAAGCCGCCCCCAGCTCGGGCCCAGCAGGCGAGGAGCCAGGGTCAGGGGCTGCTGGCCCAGGGGGCCCAGCCCAGCCCACACAGCCCAGGCTTCCAGAGCCAGGCCAGCCCCAATCGCAGTGACCTCCCATCTCCAGGCCAGCCGACCAAATTCCTCCTTTAGAATAATAAACAGTGTGGCCAGCCAAGGAGGCTGAGGCGGGAGGGGCAGGGAGGCTGCAATGGCCCCCTCCCCCAGCCGCGGCTGCTAATGATTTTCTTTGGCTGAGATCTCTGGCAGGAAGGGGGGAGTCAGAGGGGCACCCACCGAGGGGCAGATGGGCCTCTGTGGGGGCTGCTGGCTCCACCATGGCGCTGCTCCCTCCCGTTAAAGGAGGCCTGGCATCCAGCTGAAGGGGCTGGGGCAGGAGGGCTGGGGGAAGACAGGGGTGCATCAGAAGAGCTGGATTTTCAGCCTGGAAGCAATGAGGGGACCCTTAGGCAGGCTGCTCCAAAGGGATGGGGAGAATGAGGAGAAGAGTAGACGCACTCAGAGAGCTTATCAGGATACCGGGCAGAGCTGAGGCGGGGGTTCTCAGGCCAGGATGCTTGTCCCAGCAATGAGGAAATGCAGCTTTGTAAGGGGTACACTCAGCCCCATCTCATGTTGAGAGCTGGAGACTGAGGCCACAGAGAGAGTGATGGCACAGAAGGTAACCCTGCTGGGGCTCAGGCCAGGACCCCAGCCTTGGACTGGAAACTAAAAGGGGTGAGATTGGGGGTGCCGTGGGGGTGGACTGGGTGTGGGCTGAGGAGCAGGCCAGGCTGGGCAGCCGCTCAGGGAAGTCAGCAGACCCGCGGCACCGGGAGGCTCCTTGATGCCTCGTCACGTGGCCACTGCCCACGTTTCTTGCTGTGACTCCCATCTGCTCCTGGGCTCCTTCCCGCCCACACTGCAGGCAGACCCTGGCGAGCCTGCCTCTCGGTGGTGGTTTGGGACCCTTGGATGTGGCGGCCACGGGAAGAGACGGAACAAAGACGCTCCCAATTCAGCCTGTCTTTCAGGGAGTGTCCCTGCGGTTGCTGATTTCTGACTCCATCACTGTCTCCCCTCTCTCTGTCTCTCTGTGTCTCCGTCTCTCTCTACCTCTATCAGGTCAGTTCTCTCTGTTTCTCTCTCAGACAAGCTCCGCGGTGTAACCTCGGGCAAACTCCTTTTTCTCTCAGAGTCCGTTTCCCCATCCGGACACCAGGGGTGGGGTGGGCTTGCTGTGCAGCGGGGCCGCCCCGGGGCCCAGTCCCCAGCCCCTCTCCCCTGGGCCTCCCCGTGCAGCTCAGGACCGAGGGAAGGGGGGCTAAATGTGGGGGTACTCCCCCCACATTCCACAGCCCTGACTCCCCCGCTTCCCTTCCCACAGCCACCTCCACTTCCTGTTGTGCTTGTGGAGCTGTGGGAGTTCTCTGGGTTCTGGCTTACCCCCTCCTTCTCCTCCAGGCCTTTCATCACACTTTCCCAAATATTTGTCCTGGCAGATAAGAGCCTGGTATTGGAACTGTCACCCGGAGGACAGGCTGTTAGGGCTGGCGGGCCCCTGGACACCATCCAGTCCAAACCCCCAACCCCCCACCCCCCATGTATATAGAGAAACTAAGGCTCAAAGAGAGGTGGGAGCTCAGCCAGGGTCACCACGGAGCCAAAGGAGGGTCCAGGCTCCTCGAGGCTGTGCCTCGTGCAGCGGGAGGAGACCTGTGGGCAGGGGAGACCTCTCAGCCATGGGACACGGGTAGCCTTTCACTTCGGCGCCACGGACACGAAGGCTCGGTGGCCCAGGCTGGGGCTCCCATTGCAGGACCCAGGTGCAAAGATGGGCCTTGGCACTGCCTCTGTCCACCCTGGGCCCTGACTGATCCCTGTTTAACTCTGCAGGACACCATGCTGCTCCTGCATGCCATGCCAGCTCCTGTCCTCAAAGGTAGGTAGATGGGGGGCCTGGGAGGGGCCTGGGAGAGTCACTAAGCAGGACCCTGAAGCTGGGAGGGTGGAGCATCAGAGCCTGGGAGCCCAGGGGCACTGCTGTGCTCCCAGCCTCCGTGTCCTGCCCTTCCCAGTGGTTCTCAGGGGAGGCCCTTCCGCTGCCCACCCCTCAGCTCACTAACGCCAGTGGGTGCCCTGCTTGCCCAGAGCCTTTGGCCCAGATCCTTTGCTCGGCCTTCCACCCCCATACCCCTTCACCAGCTTGCCCACCACTCACTACGAGTCACCCAGCCTCCCATCTCTTCTCAGCATTGCTGGTATTGATCTGGCATCGGCCTGGCCGGTCTGCTTCCGGTCTGGGACTCCTCACCCTACTTGGCTGTGCACTCGTTGGCTGTGCACTCCCAAGTCCTGGCTGGGCTTCTCCAGCACACACTCCCCTCACTCCTGCCCAGTACATGTACTCGGCTCTCCAAGGGCTGGGCAGCTGACCAGGCAATCAATGGTCATTGGCCATCGATGACTAGGTAACAGCTTACTAATGATGGCTGACTGGCTTGGGGGAGGGGGGTTGGGATGGGGTAGCTGACAGAATCCTCCCCCCGGGGATGTCAGCATGGGAAGTGGAACCAGTCGCTTGGCAACCCCCACCTCCCATCTGCCTGCGTTCCCAGAGGCCTCAGCATCTCTCCTGCCTCAGTCTGCCCCACTCTGAGCTACCTTGCCCCACCCTCCCAAGCAGGGCCACCTCTGGGCTTTGGGCAGAACCTGGGCAGCTGAGGCAGCTGCAGGGAAGAGGCTCCAAGAGTGACCTGGGAAATAATGCAGGAACTGGAGTCTGGGAATGACTTCCCAAGGATTTCCTGCCGCCTTTGTGGACGTGCCCCAGCCTGAGGCTGCTGCTGAAGGACTCCTAGGCTGGGGGTGGACGGGCACTGAGGCCAGGAGGCCAGGAGGCCCTGGCCGGGGAGCTGGGCCTGGGGAGCTGAGTGAGCTAGGCCTCCACGCCACGGGCTCCTGGCTGTGTTTTGATTAGGGGGGTGTGGTTTGCAAGGGCTGTGCCTGTGTGTCAGCTCTGGGAGAGGTGCGGGGGCTCCTGGCCTCTGGCATCTTATCGGACGCCTCCTCTCCCAAAGGCCAGGGGCTGTTGCTGCCCCTGCTGGTGTTGCTGGCACCACAGGCTTCTCCAGGTCTGGTCATCACTCCTCCGGGGCCGGAGCTCGTCCTCAATGTCTCCAGCACCTTGGTGCTGACCTGCTCGGGCCCAGACCCGGTGGTGTGGAGACGGACGTCCAAGCAGCCTCCGCAAGAAATGGTCAGGACCCAGGATGGCAATTTCTCCAGCATCCTGACGCTGGCCAACGTCACTGGGACAGACACGGGAGAGTACTTTTGTGCCTACAATAGCTCCCAGGAGCTGGAGGCCGGTGAGCAGAAACGGCTCTACATCTTTGTGCCAGGTAAGGCCCCGGGCCTGCGCTCCCGCCCTTACTCCTCCGCTGCAGGCATCTGGGGAAGCTCAGGGAGTGCTTCAGTGATGCGGTGAAAGGCAGCCAGCTTAGACATGCAGGCGAATCGTGGAATCCAGCCTGGCTCAGCCCAGGAGTACGTTCATTCCCACCCTTTGGTCTGAATATCCATCTGCTCCCTGCCAGCCCACCCCATTCCTGGCTCCCAAGAACTCTGCATTCTCAGCTGGTTCCAATACACTCCCTCTTGGCATCCACGTCCCATCATCCCCATTCTACACATGCCAGGTACCAGCTGCCATCCAGCTGGGGGCCTCCCCACCCTGGAACGGTCCGTGTCAAATGTTAAAGCTCAAAGGGACATCTGAGAGCATCCTTGTTCTGGAATGGGAAAACTGAGGGCCAGAAAGGGAAACAGGCCCGCTCAAGGTCACACAGCAATTCAGGGGGCTAGCTGGAAACCCAGCTCCCCCTGACCCTCACTTTTAACCCCACACCCTCACCCCTGGCAGATCCCACCATGGGCTTCCTCCCGATCCTCCCCGAGGAATTTTTCATCTTCCTCACGGAAGTGACCGAGACCACAATCCCATGCCGAGTGACGGATCCACAGCTGGTGGTGACGCTGCACGAGAAGAAGGTGGATGACCCACTGCCCATCCCCTACGACCACCAACGTGGTTTCTTCGGGACCTTTGAGGACAAGACCTATGTCTGCAGAACCACCATTGGGGACAAGGAGGTGGATTCTGAGCCCTACTATGTCTACAGCCTCCAGGGTGAGCCCCCTCTCTGGCCTGAGGCTCAGCAGGGGCAAGTAGGAGCGTTCACAGAGGTAGAGCCCTTTCCAACGTGCGTGGCTCCATTTGTCACGGGATTATCATCGCTGCCTTTGAAGGCAGCTCATGTTTCTCCATCCTACAGACGAGGAAAGCGAGGCTCAGAAGGAGGATGGAATTTGCCCAAGGTCCCCGGGATGTGTTAGTGGCAGGGCTGAGTGGTATGTAGGAGTGGGCGAAGGCACAGGCTTTGGAGCCTGTGGGGTTCAAATCCCAGCTCTACCACTTCCTGCCTCAGCGACTTTGCACAGAGCACATCATCTCTCCAAGCCCGCTTCTCTGCTGTAAAATGGGATTACTGGAAAGATAAATAGAGCAGAAGACGGAGGGCTGATCTGGTGTGCAGTTAATTGGAGAGTACGTTGGCTTCCAGACTGTTATCCCTTCTGGAATGTCAGCTCAAATTTTATCTGTTGTGTTTACTGCAAAAGCCCCTGTGCCTAGAATAGTACTTGGCATAGAGCAGATATTTAATAAATATTTGTTGAACAAATGGATCTTCCACATCAACCATCCCTTCCCTCTCTGGACCCCAACCCCATCCCCACATTGAAGTGCTGGTAGCCAGCTGGTGGTGACTCCCTAACTAAGCCCAACTCTCTCCACCAGCGTCATCCATCAATGTTTCAATGAATGCGGCGCAGACGGTGGTCCGCCAGGGTGAGAACATCACCATCACGTGCATTGTGACCGGGAACGAGGTGGTCAACTTCGAGTGGACATACCCCCGTGAGGAGGTAATGCTGGGCCAGGGGCTGAAGGAAGGGCCGGGCAGCGATGGCCTGCCTCCTTGGACGCTTCCTAATTTGGGGGTTCTTGCCCTGCTTGTCCCCACAGAGTGGGCGGCTAGTGGAGCCAGTGACCGACTTCGATATTCCCCACATCCGCTCCATCCTGCACATCCCCAGTGCCGAGCTGGGCGACTCGGGGACCTACATCTGCAATGTATCCGAGAGTCTGTACGACCATCAGGATGAGAAAGCCATCAATGTCACCGTGGTTGGTGCGTTCCTCGGGCTCAGCCCCAACCCTCGTTCTGAGCTGGATCCACACCCGGTCACAGCCCCGCGGTACCTTCAGCCCAGCTCTAGCCACATTTCAAACCAGAGCTCCATGTCCAGGAGAAACTCAAACCAAGACACGGTGCCAACCCTAACCCCATCTAGACTTTCTTCCTTGCTGGAGCCTGGCCCCACCCCAGTGTCCAATCCCAGACTCCTTCCCAGGCCCAGGCAGCCCCGTCCCTAAATTCAACCAGGCTGCAACTCATCTCAGCCACCAGCCTGGGTGAGAACTCCAACTCCAGCCTCCATCTTAAACCTGGTCTCCAAGCCAATGTCAGCCCCAAGTCTGGCTCAGTTCCAGCCCCAGCCCCAACTTCAATCCCAGCTCAGGTAGCTCCTACACCCGATGCCCCGCCCCCAGAAGCCCCGCCCCCGAGACTCAGCCCCGCCCTGACAGCCGCCCCTTGCAGAGAGTGGCTACGTGCGCCTGCTGAGGGAGCTGGACGCTGTACAGTTCGCGGAACTGCACCGGAGCCGGACTCTGCAGGTGGTGTTCGAGGCCTACCCGCCGCCCACTGTCATGTGGTTCAAGGACAACCGCACCCTGGGTGACTCCAGCGCCGGCGAGTTCGCCCTGTCCACGCGCAATGTGTCGGAGACTCGGTGAGCAGCCGCCTACCCGCTCCGTTCTGGACGTTAGGGTCTGCAGCTGCCAGGCAGCCCACAGCCTTCAGCTACTCCACGAACCTCGGCCCATCTTTCCTGAGCGCCCACTATGTGCCAGGCACCCTGCCAGGCGCTATGCCAGGCCCTGGGAACACACAGGTCCATGCCTCTTAGAGTTTCCTCTCCAGTGGGGAAGCAGACACTGGTCAGATGATCTTCCAGATGTTTAGTTGTCCTTGCGATGGGTGGAGCCACCAGGAGGCAGCTGAGGAGAAAAAAAAGCAGAATGACTGTCCACGAGCAGGTGGACATGCACATGGGAGCCTTAAGGCTGGAGGTGAGAGGCTGGCCTGAGGTGCCAGTGTTGGGATAGAGCAGTGTCAGGCCATTCTGAAGAAGAGATGCGGAGGAGGAGGGAAATGCTGCTAACTCTTCATCCCCACCCTCCTGCCCGCCCTCTGAAACAGTGGGCGGGGGGAGCCAGGAGACTAGTTCTATGGGTGGGAGTCCTGGCCCTGCTACTGACAGTTTGTGACCTCCCGGGCCATGTCTGTACGAGGAGGGCAGGGAGGGCTGTATGCATTCTTCCAGCGCTGAAAGTGGGTCTCCTGGCCTGGCCTGCTCCCCAGGTATGTGACAGAACTGACACTGGTGCGGGTGAAGGTGGCCGAGGCTGGTCACTACACCATGCTGGCCTTCCACGAGGACGCTGAGGCCCATGTCTCCTTCCAGCTGCAAATCAACGGTGAGGAGCCCTCCACCCTGCTTTCCCCCCTCCCCCCTGCCATTTCCTCTCCCTCCCTACACTGTCCACCACCCCTCAGAGGAGCAGGAGAGGGAGCCCAGGACTCAGGAGACAGGGTTCCGGTCTTAGGGCCAACGCTGACCCACTGCTCTGTGCACACCACCTCTCTGGGGCTCAGTTTCCCCAGCTGCACAAGCTGGCCATTGGTGTTTCAAAACCTCAGGCTTTCATGGGCCAATGCCATGATTTTCCCTTCTCACGTGCCCCTTACACTACACTACTCATTAAATAGGTATTTATTGAACAACACCAGTATGCCGGTCTGTTTAAGGATCATGAGGCCCTGCCTTTATGGGCTATTGGGGGAAGACAAACATTGGACAGTAGGGCTAAAATCCCCAGCAAATTATGTAGAAGGTTAGAAGGTAACAAATAAAAAGCAAAAGCTGCCGGGAGGGGTGTGGGGGAGGATGGAGAGCTCGGGGGCAGGGACAGTGAGGGTTGCCCTTTTACCAGTAAATAGCAGTGATGGGGTTGGCCTCACTGCGGTGACAGTTGCGTGAAGACCTGAAAAAGGTGAAGGCATTAGCCGAGTGGCTATTTGAGGAAAGGGCAGAGCAGGCAGTGTGGACGGGAGTAACACAGACAGGAGGCAGAAAGGCCTGAGCGGCCGGAGCAGTGTGAGGGGTAGAGAGGTGGGAGACAGGTCAGAACTGGGACAGGGCAGTGGCGGGGTGGACAGGACAGACCGTGTAGGTCCTCATGGGCTCTTGGGCGGACTTTTTCTGCGACTAAAACGAAGAGTCACTGCAGGGTTTTGAGTAGAGGAATGACATGATAGTGACGTAATGTTTTGGCCATTGACTTTCTAAAAATGTGTTTTGAAAGAGAATTTAACCTCTCAGTTGTGGATGGAAAACACTGTTAAGTGTCATAAACATGAAGCACCACTATAAATCGACTCCAAGACAACAAAGCAGTGCTATTAAATTCGAGCTCCCTGTTCTTGCCTTCCCAGGGCCCTGATCCGGAGGCCCGCTCTCTCTTTGTTAAAAGGGAAGATTAGCAAGTCTCTGAGAGGTGTTAAAGACAGACTAGCACCCTGCCGGGGCTTCCCCTTTGAAGTACCCAGAAGGGGAATCCGCCGGTTTTCACACGGGGATTCCTGGTATTGAATGTTCACCTGCAGTCTGCGGCTCCCTTCCCTCAGGGGAGACTCTGGACCATGCCCTTCCTCCCTGAGGATCATGCTCACTACCTGTCTGTTCCGACCTTCCCTCCGCCTGGCCCCATGCCTTCTCCATGCAGTGCCTGTCCGCGTGCTGGAGCTGAGTGAGAGCCATCCTGCCAACGGGGAGCAGACAGTCCGCTGTCGCGGCCGGGGCATGCCTCAGCCGCACCTCACCTGGTCTATCTGCAGTGACCTCAAAAGGTGAGCAGAACACCTGCCTCAGTCTCCCAGGGAACCCACAGCTGGCTGGAAGGACCCACTGAGGGTCATCTGGTTGAGCCCCTCCCTTCCTCTGGGCACATCGCTCCAGGCTAGCGTCACATCCTAGAAGATGTGGCTTCGTGGAGATGCCCTGCATGACCTAAATTGCCCGCTTTTCCTTAACTTTATTCTGAGGGTCAAAGGGAGGGGATGGAATTTGCGAACCTCAGTTGTGGGGTAGGAGCGCCCCCTGCTGGTCAGTCGAGGGACGGCAAAAAAGAACCCGCTCAGAGGAAGCCGGAAGGATAGCCCAGAGAGGGCAGGGCCTGGAAGCTGACCTGGCTGGCACCCTGGGCAGGTGTCCGCGCGAGCTGCCACCCACGCTGCTGGGGAACAGCTCCGAGGAAGAGAGCCAGCTGGAGACCAATGTGACATACTGGACGGAGGAGCAGGAGTTCGAGGTGGTGAGCACGCTGCGCCTGCGCCACGTGGATCAGCCGCTCTCCGTGCGCTGCACGCTGCGAAACCTGCTGGGCGATGATGCGAAGGAGGTCACCCTGGTGCCCCAGTGTGAGTCATCCAGCCCTCGTGGCCCCCGGTGACCCCTCACCCCCACCTCGAGCCTGCCATACTTGTGGCTGTGTCAGTGTGCCAGAGTCAGCATGTCCACGGGCGCTCGGGAGCCCTGTGAAACTCACCAGAATATGTTCCTCCGCTTACACAACAGCACAGTATTGCCACACGTGTACACTCACAAGCGTATGTCTGTAAACCATGGCTATGCATAGCACTGTCTCCTTATGCCCGGTGTGTGTACACTCTGTGTGTGTCGTAAGCCATGCTCATGAGCATGCCTGACCCTCCAAGAGTAGGTTTGTAAACATGTAATGAAGAATGCACGCAGATCCATGTGTAAACCCACGGATGTTTGTCTATGCATGTACTTGTGGGTGCACAATCCCATACAAGTGTATAAGCATGCATGTACAATTCCTATGCATGTGGGCCACTGGGCTGGTGCATGTCTATAAGCATGGGAAGGTGAGCCACAGACTGGCCGCCAGGAGCTTGCATCTGATCTGGAGCCATGGCAGACAGGCCACACTGACCCCTGCGAGGGCTGAAGGGACAGGGAGGCCGATAGTGATCTGAGCAGCAGGTAGTTACATGGGTATTTACGGGAGACGCTGAAGGTGTGGCCCAGAGGGAGAGGCTGAGGGTCTGACACTATAGCTTGTGGAAGGGAGTGAGAGGGGGCTTCTGTTCTGGCAGGGTGGGCAGAGGGGGATTTGTGGTACTAGAGGTGGGTGAGAAAGGCAGCTGCCAAGTCTTGTCTCTGCCTCCAGCCCTGCCCTTCAAGGTGGTGGTGATCTCGGCCATCCTGGCCTTGGTGGTCCTCACGATCATCTCCCTCATCATCCTCATCATGCTCTGGCAGAAGGTAAGCCCCGCCCTGCCTAAGGGATACAGACTAGCACACCATTGTATTATACACCCACCCCCCAATCCTGTCCTTGAATCCCATAGGATCTGGCCATGACTGGGCCCAGCATGGAGTTCACGTGTAAAATGATATAGAGTGATACTGGATGTCTGAGCTACCTCCATCCCCAGCAGCCTGATCCAGGCCATCAGGGTTCCCTGCCTCTATGGCTCCCCTGTCCGGGTCCTGCTCAGACATCACTCCTGCCCATCCCAGACACAGAGTTTGGGTCCTGCCGGGTAGACTACATGGGCCTCAGGATCCTTCCAGCTCTTACCCACTGAGACTTCAGGATCCTGCTGAGTTGCATTCTAATCCTAGTACTCTGTCATTCCCATGTTCTGTCCTGAGATTTCATCATCCTGTGCTTCTGACATTTTAAGATTCCTGAATTAGGATTGCAGAACCGCACAGTCTATCTTTCTAAGATTCCAGTCCAGGGATTCCAGCACTTCATGGTTTCAAGATCCCACCGTTACATCTTTCTGAGATTCCTGCTGTGACTGACCCAGCATGGAGAGGGGCTGTCCACACCCTGCAGAGTACCCTTGCCTTGTGCCACATTCTGGCGCTGTGTGCTCCCTTATTCCCATCTGAGGAGCAGCTGAGGCTCTGGGAGAAGCTGAGGAGGAGGTTCTGAGGAGCTGGGCCCTTGGCTGTCAGCTACTCCTCCGCCACTTCTTAGCCCCTTGGCATCGGTTCCACTGAAGGCCTTGGCCCTAGCCATAACTTGCTGTGTGACTTCCGCTGACCCTCTCTGGGCCTCTGGGTCTCCTGCCCTAACCGTTCCACAAGGGATTGGGCCTCGTGGGCCTCAAGACCCCCTCTGATGACCCACCCCTGGTCTTGGTCCTGCAGAAGCCCCGCTATGAGATCCGGTGGAAGGTGATTGAATCTGTGAGCTCCGATGGCCACGAGTACATCTACGTGGACCCTATGCAGCTGCCTTACGACTCCACCTGGGAGCTGCCCCGGGACCAGCTTGTGCTCGGTCAGTCCGAGGAGCCCTCACGTGGCAGTGTGTGGACTTGAGGCGGGCGGGAAGATGATCTGAGGTCTGGTCCCAGCTCTGATGTGACTAGCGTCGAGACTCAGGGCCGAAGGATGTCTTGCCCTTTCTGGCCCTTAGTCTCCCCGTTTGTACAATGGGGACAAGACGATCCCCCAGGGACCATCCAGCATTGAGGTCCTATGATCCCATGACTGTGTGAGGTGAGACTCTTTGTGATGAGAAAGAAAGTACTAATCGAGAACAGGGCTGTGCTTAGTCTAGCTGGGAGGGTGGGGGGTGCAGAGGAGCAGTGCTCCCCTCTGGGGAGAGAGGGCGGCTCCCAGGGACTAAGATGGGCCAGACAGCAGCTAGGCCTTGAATGAGGCACCAGGAAGGACTGTGAAGCGCCGTGATTTTAGGACCCTCCTTGGGGGGAACGCCTTAAGTCCAGGGTGGCTGCGGGCGGGAATGCAGCTTCCTGGTGGGCCGGGAACTGAGGGGTCATCTTTTCCCAGGACGTACCCTCGGCTCCGGGGCCTTTGGGCAGGTGGTGGAGGCCACGGCTCACGGCCTGAGCCATTCTCAGGCCACTATGAAAGTGGCCGTCAAGATGCTGAAATGTGAGTCCTGGGAGCGTCCCACCTCCCTCCTGCCCTGCCCTGCCCCGCACCCCCGGCACCCCCAGAGCAGGCCAGGCCCGACTCGGATTCGGATTCCCTGGCATGAGGAGTACAGTCACTCTGGGGCCAGCCTCACTCCGAGGAAAGAGACTTCCAAACCCTGCTCCCACCTCTGGCAGCCTCTTCCCTCCCCTGTTTATCAGCCTCCCCCAGCTCTTCCCCTCTCCTTGCATGTGGGTCCTTGCCACCCTTGGCCACCTGTGTCTGACAGCACAGACTTGGGCAGAGCCAGAATAGGCTCCAGTGGGACCGGCATGGGGCCTCCGTGATGGGCCCGGCCTGAGCCCCCCTCTCTCCCTCAGCCACAGCCCGCAGCAGTGAGAAGCAGGCCCTCATGTCAGAGCTGAAGATCATGAGCCACCTCGGGCCACACCTGAACGTGGTCAATCTGCTGGGAGCCTGCACCAAAGGAGGTACAGACCCAATTGCCCAGAGGATTCTGGGAAATGCCAGTGGCCAAGGCCTGGCCCTCTCCACCGCTCCTCAGTCCAAGGACATCAGGAAACTCCAGTTGGAGCGTCCAACACCCTCACTTGACAGAGCCAGATGGCTATGGGATTTAGAAACACACAGCATCACAGCACTGCCAAGGCCAGAGGACTGTTCAGACCATCAGTCCATGGTTCCCAAATGAAGGGATCCTCTGACATTTTAAAATTTTCACAATCTATTTTATAATTGAATTTATTGGGGTGACATCCATCTATATAAAACCCTAATATGAAAATCGATCAAATGGTGGGACAACCATGATGTGCACTGATCACCAGGGGGCAGATGCTCAATGCAGGAGCTGACCTCATCCCACAGGTCCTGACCAGCGGCGGTGGTGGGGGCAGGACTGACGAATGGGCAGCACCAGGCCAGCCAAAGAGGGTGCAAGCAGGCTACCCACACCCCAATCACCCTGCCAGTCACCCCACAGAAGGAAGTGATTGGCAGTGGGGGGCGGGGCCAGTGAGTGGGTGGCACCAGGTCAGCCAAGGTGAATGCAAGCTGGGACCATGATCACCCCACTGGTTGCCCCACAGATTGGCCCTGATCGCAGGCCAGGTCAAAGGACTTTACTTGTGCACAAATTTCATGCACCGAGCCTCTAGTTGGTTAATAAAACCATACAGGTTTCAACTGTGCAACTCAACAAGCATCATCTGCACACTGCATTGTATGCTCACCACCAAAGTCAAGTCTCTTTCCACCACCGCTTACCCCCCCTTTTCCCTCTGGCAGTCACCACACTGTTTTCTGTGTCTGTTTTTTTTGTTTTGTTTTGTTTTTCTTGATACATTTTAACAATTGTCATAAATGATTGCTCATGTGACACAGAGTTGAGTTGTGTCCCCAGGACTGGAGACCACCAGCCTGCTAACTGGGAGCTGCCTTCATTCAGGTCACAGAATCAAGCCTTTCTGGCTACGGATGTTTGCTTGAAACTGTGATTGCAAGTTAGGCTACAAAAACAATGTTATTGCCATTTACAGTTGCTTATTGTGAGATTTGGGATTTTCCTCAACATTGCACAACCAAAACAAAATACAGAAGTACATGGTACACATAGGCCAGTTTGTGTCTGTAGTGATCACCCCATTTCACAACTTTTGTTCCCACTAGTATCTTCAGGTTCCCACAGATTGACTTTAAGTAAACGTATCGTAGTTGAATTTGAGCAGTAACCTGATGGTGAATAATTGCCACTATTTGCTTTATACACTGGGCTCCAACATAAGCTTTAGTTGGAAAACCTACCAACAACAGCTAACATGGAGTGCTTGCTATGGACCAGGTACCGAGCTGAGCCGACAAAGGCATTAACCCAGCAACACTCACAACTCTTTGTGTTGGGTATGACTGGCCCCCTTTAGCAGATGGGGAAAGCAAGGCCCAGAGAAACTCCGTACCTTGCTCATGGTTACAGAGGCAGGTAAAGAACACAGGTTTGGCAGAAACCAGTTTGGCTCAATGGATAGAGCGTCAGCCTGTGGACTGAAAGGTCCCAGGTTTGATTCTGGTCAAGGGCATGTACCTTGGATGCAGACACATCCCCAATGGGGAGTGTGCAGGAGGCAACTGATTGATGTTTCTTTCTCATCGATGTTTCTAACTCTATTCCTCTCCCTTTCTCTGTGTAAAAAGTCAATCAATCAATCAATCAATCAATCAATAAAAGAACTCAGGTTTGCCTGGAGCCAAAGCCTCTTCACCATTGTACCAAGCTGCCTATCCCATGTGCAGCCTGTCACTACTCTCATGGCCCTTACGGGAGCCAAGGCTTCCCTGGGGACCATCCCTGAGCCAGTCCCTCCCTCCGCAGGACCCATCTACATCATCACCGAGTACTGCCGCTACGGGGACCTGGTGGACTACCTGCACCGCAACAAGCACACCTTCCTGCAGCACTGCCCCGACAAGCGCCGCCAGCCCGGCGCCGAGCTCTACAGCAACGCTCTGCCGGGCGGGCTCCCACTGCCCAGGTACCCGGGGAGGGGAGAGGCCTGAGGAGCACCTGCTCGCTCCCTCGTTCAGTACAGGAAGCCAAGGCTGGGGAGGGTAGAGTGAAGCTGGGGCGTGGCCACTCCAGAAGGTGTGACGGTCACGCTGATGATAGTGGTGGGATCTGCTGCCACCTCCTGGCTGTCTGCTTGGTGCTAGTCCCTGTGCTACACACTGCAGGTGGGACCCCCTTGTCCCTCCCATGCTCCCCAGGCCTGACTCCACCCCTACTCCTCGCTGGAGCTCCCATGCCCTCTGCACACTAACCTCTCAGTGCCCTGAGGTCAACCTAGCCCCTTCCTTCTTCTTTTTCAAAAATAACACAAAAGCAGTATGCAGTTATTGCAGAGACCAGAGTGACATTAGGAAAGCATTAAAAGACAGTAAGACGCATCCCTGTCCTCTCCAACATTTAAAAAAAAAAATATATATATATATATTTTATTGGTTTTTTACAGAGAGGAAGAGAGAGGGACAAAGAGCTAGACGCATCGATGAGAGAGAAACATGGACCAGCTGCCTCCTGCACACCCCCCACCGGGGATGTGCCCGCAACCAATGTACATGCCCTTGACCGGAATCCAACCTAGGACCCCTCAGTCTGCAGGCTGATGCTCTACCCACTGAGCCAAACCGGTTTCGGCCCTCCCCAACATTTTGACCCATTTTCTTCCAGTCTCTTTCCTACCTGTAGAGACATGTGTCCTTAGTCCCACAGCTCTTCAAGGGGCTGGTGTTGCAGGCAGAGGCTCCATTCAGATCATAGCTTGGCCTGAGCCCTCTGAGGACACACACTGGGTCTTGTGTCATCTTGGCAGGCCCAGGGCCCAACTCAGGGCCCCACAGGTTGGTAGAAAGGGCTCTCGAGGTCATTCACGTGACCGAGACAGCCTGGAGGAGGATGGCTGAGTGAGGGAGAGGAGGAACACCTGGGTGACGGGGCCTTGAGGCCCCCCGTGGTGAGCAGAGGGGCAGGCGGGGGACAGGAAGGGGAAGCCTGTGACCTCTCCTTCGGTGACTCTCCTCTCGCCCTCAGCCACACAGGGGAGAGTGACGGCGGCTACATGGACATGAGCAAGGATGAATCGGTGGACTACGTGCCCATGCTGGACATGAAAGGGGACATCAAATATGCAGACATCGAGTCCTCCAATTATATGGCTCCTTACGATAACTACGTCCCCTCCGGTGAGTGCGCGGTGTCCTCTCACCTGTGCGGCCCTCGCACCTGCACAGGGATGCCTTCTTGTCAAAGCCTTTCACATGTCCCGCTGGAGAACAACCCTGGGAGGCAGCTGGCCTTGTGCCCATTTCATAGATGCAGACACTGAGGGCAGCCACCTGCCCGAAGCTGCTGTGGTGGAGTTCCAATACGAACCCCAGCTTCTGGGTCCTGACATATACATGCAGCCTACGTGGAGGGGAAGCTGGGGTGGGGGAGTACCTGGCCTCCTGGGCCTTGGGGAAGAGTGATCAGCCCGGAGTAGGCCCCAGGCTGATCTGGTGGCCCTGAAAAGGGCCGGCCAGGCTGTGTGATCTGGGGCAAATGCTGACAGTTTGTCCGCACAAGAAAGGCTCTGGCAAAGTAAGAGAGGTTCCAGTTCGATATTTGGAAATTGCTTTCCTTTGGGGGGAGATTAGAGGATCAGTATCCCCTGCCTTGGACAGTAAGCTTCCAGGGGCCAAAGAGCAGAGGGCCGTGGACTGTGGAAACACAAGACATGCTGACCTCCTGCTCTCCTCTAGCTCCCGAGAGGACCTGCCGAGCCACCCTGATCAACGAGTCTCCAGTGCTTAGCTACACGGATCTCGTGGGCTTCAGCTACCAGGTGGCCAACGGCATGGAGTTCCTGGCCTCCAAGAACGTACGTGTGGTCCCAGTGGGCAGATCGAGGTCCTGGGGAGGTGGGTCACCCAGCCACCCAGGTCTTCCAGGTACACTGTCTACACAGTAGCTTCGCCCCATCGGGTGGATGAGGACAGTGAACGCCCTCACCACGTGGCACCCCTCACCTGGGTGGTCCCCCACACCACCTGGCCCCCCTCACCTGGGTGGTCCCCCACACCACATGGCCCCCCTCACCTGGGTGGTCCCCCTCACCACTTGGCCCCTCTCACCTGGGTGGTCCCCCACACCACGTGGCCCCTCTCACCTGGACAGTGTTGCATTTTTCCCAAAGCAACTTGACACAGAGTGTCTTTCCCCACAATTGCCCCAAGGCCTCAGCTCCCACCCTCCCCTCCCCCAGTGTGTCCACCGAGACCTGGCAGCCAGGAATGTGCTCATCTGTGAGGGCAAGCTGGTCAAAATCTGTGACTTCGGCCTCGCTCGTGACATCATGCGGGACTCTAACTACATCTCCAAAGGCAGCGTGAGTACCTTCCCCATCCCTGTGCATCTCTGCCCCTCGAGGTCAGCCTGGCTCAGAGGGGACAAGGTCAGGCTCCTCGTGGTCTGACCTGCCCAGCAGTGACGGCTCTGCCTGCCCGGCCGTGTGTGCAGGGACAGGAAGGGAGCCATGAGATGTGCATGGGGTGGAGCTGGCAGAGATGCTGAGGCAGAGGAAGAAGTCGAGGTGTCAGCTAAGAAAGATAAGTAGGTGGCAGGCGGTATTTGGATAAAATATGACTACTCTGCCTCCTATGCGTGTGTCCACTTTCTGCATTGGGGCAGTGAACTCCAGAGCTGGAGGGACGCTGGGCCCCAAGATCAGAGGCAGCCAGGATCAGAGCTGGCACCTGGGCATGTCCCTGGCTCCCACGCTGCCCTGCTAGCCCCGTCAGGAGCTCTCCCGGTCAGGAAGGAAGCCTGTTCCGTGAGGAGCCTCAGACCCTGGAGTGATCATGATCGCAGCTGCGGACAAAGGAACAGCCTCCTGACCCTCTGGCCAGCACTGGGATGGACATGGGAACCGTGTGCCAGCAGATGGGCCCTCAGGGACCAGGGAGGGAGAGGAGCTGTGGGGGGGGAGGACTGCCAGGTCTCCCCGCACTGCCCAGGTGCAGGGTGGGGCTCAGCCCCTCCTTGCCCTCAGACGGACCCGCCCTCCCGCAGACCTTCCTGCCGCTGAAGTGGATGGCCCCTGAGAGCATCTTCAACAGCCTCTACACCACCCTGAGCGATGTGTGGTCCTTTGGGATCCTCCTCTGGGAGATCTTCACCCTGGGTATGCCTCCTGCTCCCCACAGTCCTCAGCGGCCTGGCAGGGCTCCCTCCCTGGCCACTTATCCTTCCAGCCTGGAGGGGCTGTGAACAGACTCTGGGTCAGCGATCGGGGCTCAGGTTCACGCCCCAGCTCTGCTGCTTTCTTATTGCTGTGTGTCCTTGGCAAGGATCTCGCCCTCTCTGGGCCTCTTTACCTCCCCATCTGAGCATCTAGGGGTTGGGACAGTGACATCAGAAAGCCTGCTTGGTTCTGGTATTCTTTGGTTCTCTGATTCTAGGGAGGATAGTAGTCTGTCCAGAGCCATGAAGGAGCCATATTCATCAATCCTAAGGTCACCTTCCCCTCCTCCCAGCCCTGGCACAAGGGTTTCTCATGCCTGAGTCCGTGTATCTCTTCTCTTGTCTTTGCCCCCTGGCAGGTGGCACCCCATACCCGGAGCTGCCCATGAACGAGCAGTTTTACAACGCCATCAAGCGGGGCTACCGCATGGCCCAGCCTGCCCACGCCTCCGATGAAATGTGAGTGGCGCGTTTGGGAGAACTCTCTAGGTGCAAACCATAGATACCCAACTTTACCAGCTTAAGCCAACAACAGATTGACCTAGGAAAATCTAGGTCTGGCTGGATCCAGGTGTGCAGCTGAGGTCATCAGCGATCTTCCTTCTATCCTGGGCTCCGCTCTCCTCGGCCCAGCCTCCTATCCAGGCCGGCACTGCCCAGTGGCCGCGTCCTGCTGCTTTCACCCCAGCTCCAGCAAAACCCAGAGCTGGTTGTCGAGCTGAGGTCACATGCACACCCAGAACCAGCCACTGAGCTGGGGTCACGTGCACACCCAGAACCAGCCACTGAGCTGGGGTCACATGCACACCCAGAACCAGCCACTGAGCTGGGGTCACGTGCACACCCAGAACCAGCCACTGAGCTGGGGTCACGTGCACACCCAGAACCAGCCACTGAGCTGGGGTCACATGCACACCCAGAACCAGCCACTGAGCTGGGGTCACGTGCACACCCAGAACCAGCCACTGAGCTGAGGGGATGCAGGCTCCTACCAACCAGACCTGGGTCACGTGTTCACCCAGGAGTGGTCAACCCCACTGAACCACTGAACCACAGAACCGGGGCCAGAGGGAGGGCTTCCCAAGGGGATATCCAGGTGAGACAAGGGCAAGCGACACCTATCCACCTCCCTTCCCCAAGTCCTTCGTGGTTCTCCTTTCTGGGGTGGCACTCCCCCCCCCCCATGCCCTATGTCAGAGACCCTGACCCCTTGTGCCTCTCCCCAGCTACGAGATCATGCAGAAGTGCTGGGAAGAGAAGTTTGAGATTCGCCCCCCCTTCTCCCAGCTGGTGCTGCTTCTGGAGAGGCTTCTGGGTGAAGGTTACAAAAAGGTATGTCGAGGCAGGGTGGGGGAGGGAACTGGAAGTCAGACACCGGTACAAGGCTGGTGTAACATGCCAGCATTTGGGGGACCACCCCGTACCCTCACCTGACCTCAGTTTCCCTGCTGGTACCAATAAGGGATGGGCCGGAGACAGGAGTTTATTTTAGCAGCACAGAGAGTTCTGAAATGAATCCCGCATGGAAGCTGATACGTTTAAAGTAGAGAAGGGAGCCTACAGCGCCCGTCATCCTGCATCCTGCCTCACGCTGTCTCACCGGGGCCAAATCTTGCATCTCCTTCAGAGGCGTGAACTTCCTGAGGCTGGATGACTGCTGAGGGCCTGGCCACTTGGGCCCCATCCAGGCTCCGACACGGCAGATGGAGCCAGCTGGGCCACACCTCCCTGCCCACAGCAGGAACTAGAGGAGGGAGATGCCCGTCTCCTTTGGCCCAGACGGAGCCCATTCCCTAGGCCCGTGGTCTGCAAACTGTGGCTCGAGAGCCACATGCAGCTCTTTGTCCCCGTGAGTGTGGCTCTTCCACAAAATACCATGGCCTGGGGGAGTCTATTTTGAAGAAGTGGTATTAGAAGAAGTTTAAATTATAAAAATTTGGCTCTCCAAAGAAATTTCAATCGTTGTACTGTTGATATTTGGCTCTGTTGACTAATGAGTTTTCCGACCACTGCCCTAGGCCCATTCCTTACCCCAATCCCACCCTGGGTCTGGTTACACTCAGGGACCAGTGAGCCGGAGTGGGGTGGTCCCCATTTGGAAGTTTGGAGGTTGAGGCAGGATGAGACAGCATCTGTCGGGTCTGAAGTGGATGACATGTCAGCATTTCAGGTGACATGTTGGCCCCCTCCCTGGGTGGTGCTAAGCTCACCTTGTCTTGTGTGACTTTGGACAATTGTCCTTCCTCTCTAAGCACCAGTTGCCTAATTTCCACACGTTGCGAGGGGCTGGGTCAGCATCTGTTAGATGACCCCTGAAGGCTTTCCTGACCTGGCCTTCTCTGTCTCTTGGGTTCCCCCTGGCCCTCGGAGCAGAAGTACCAGCAGGTGGATGAGGAGTTTCTGAGGAGCGACCATCCCGCCGTCCTTCGGTCCCAAGCCCGCTTCCCTGGCTTCCATGGCCTCCGGTCCCCGCTGGACACCAGCTCAGTCCTCTATACTGCTGTGCAGCCCAACGAGGGCGACAATGACTACATCATCCCCCTGCCCGACCCCAAGCCCGAGGCTGCTGATGAGAGCCCATTGGAGGGGTCTCCCAGCCTTGCCAGGTAACCACTGTGGCCCAGGGTGTGCAATGGTGTGCGCAGTGTGTGTGTGTGTGTGTGTGTGTGTGTGTGTGTGTGGCATCAGGCTTGCCTTAGAAATAAGTTACTAGAGTGAACACTTATTCCTGCCAGTGAGTAGAAAGGAGAATTGAACTTGTTTGACCTCTGATGCCCTCAAGTGTAAAAGGCAGGTTGGTGAGAGAAAGAATGGGCTGGGATTTATCTGCAAAGTAGTTGTTTCCTTTAAAGGAGCCCTCGTAGACCTGGCCAGCGTGGCTCAGTGGTTGAGTGTCAACCTATGAACCAGGAGGTCATAATGTGATGCTGGTCAGGGCACATGCCCGGGCTGCAGGCTAGTTCCCGGGGGAGGGGCATGCAGGAGACAGCCAATCAGTGATTCTCTCAAATCATTGATGTTTCTCTCTTGCGCCCTTCCTCTCTGAAATCAATAAAAATCTATTTGAAGTTGATTGATTGATTTCAAAGAGGAAGGGAGAGAGAGAGAGAGACAGAACCTGCAACCTGAGCACATGCCCTGACCAGGAACCAGACAGTGCCTTCCTGGTTCATAGGTCGATGCTCAAACAAGAAGCCACACCAGTCAGGCTCTCTCTGCATATTTAAAAAACAAATGAAGGAGCCCTCATAGGCCATCTGCTCTCTCCCCTCCAGGCCCCATCCTAGCCATAATTAGCACCCCAGCTCCCAGGTGTTACTGGGACATGGCCAACTCCTGAGGCTTGTCTTTAGAGCCATGTCTTGGGGGCTCTGGGAAGCTGGTGTGGTTGTAGGCGGTGCCTACAGTTCAGGCCAGAATTCAGACTGGGAAGCAGATTCATGCTTTCCTTCGCCTCAGGATGTGGTGACATTAGAGTCTGGGGAGGGCTTTGGAGGAAGTCCCAGCTGCTGCCTGGACGTGTCGTCCAGGCAGCATTCCCCCTTGGCTGGAGAGAAGGGTTCCCCATGAGGCCAGACCCCCACTCCCTCCAATCCAGACCCAGCTCGCGGTGAAGTGGCAGGAGCCCCACCCGGGTCCCAGCTCTGGCACCTGCTCTCTCTGAGTGCTTGGAGCACACAGGACTCAGAAGGCCCCTGGCCTGTGAAAGCAGCTAATAGTCCAAGGCTCCGGCAGACAGTGTGCAGAGAACTTAAGCTCAGGGGTCAAGCAGCTTAGGATGTGCACGCTGCCCCGATTTGTGCCCTCAGGCAAGTTGCTTACCCCCTCTGAACTTCAGTTTCCTCATCTGTAAACTAAAAGCCATAAGCACTTCAGTTTGGAGGTTGATGTGAGAGTTAAATGAGAAAGCATATACTGTAAGGAGTGCAGGAGGTGGAGACATTGATGAGTGAGGAGTAAGCTTAGAGCAGCCGGAGTGGCTGTGAAGTGCTATGTGTGCCAGACAAGGACAGACCCGCTCAGAGGGGCCCTTTCCTCTCCATGCTGGCCCTGCTTAGTCCTTACAAGGACTCAGTGAGCCAAAGTGCATCACGTGCACAATGCCAGTTCGGACACAGAAAGCTCTCGAATGCCATTGTCATTTTCCTTCAACCTTTCACTCATGTGCCTTCTCCCTGTAGCTCTACCCTGAATGAAGTCAACACCTCCTCAACCATCTCCTGTGACAGCCCCCTGGAGCCCCAAGAGGAACCAGAACCAGAACCAGAACCAGAACCAGAGCCCCAGCCCGAGTCCCAGGTGCAGCCAGAGGCAGAGCCGGAGTGGCTGCCGGATTCAAGCAGCCCCGGGCACCCGGCTGAGGCAGAGGACAGCTTCCTGTAGGGGCTGGCCCCCGCCCTGTCCTGCCTGGAGCTCCCCCTCTACCTCCCAGCATCCTGCGCCTCCCGGCCGGACCTGCCAGGCCTCCCATTGCTGTGCTACCAGCTTTCGCTCCTGAAACGTTGCACCCCAACCCCTGTAGTGGGGGGCTGGCTTAGGAGGCAGGAGACCTGCAGCAGCCATGGCCAGCCCTCTGCTCTGGGGAGGCCATGTGACTCTGAGCCAGAGTTCTCTCAAAGGACTCAGTTGGCCCATCTGTAAGATGGGGAAGTTGGACTTGGTGATGCACAACCTGGGATTCTCCCACTGGCTGATGGGGGAAGGGGGTGGAGCTGGAATCCCAGGAGATTCTCAAGGTTCATAAGGTGAGAGGGGAACTTCTTTCTGTTCTGCCAGCTACCCCGCAAAGAGCTCAGCTCTTTCCTTGTACTTTATCTGCCCCAACGCTGGGGAGGGGACCTGGTGTCCCTGGCTCCCCGCTTAGCTGGGGCCTGGCCTCGGACAGTGTTGCCTTTTCCCTGAATGCCAGTCTCCACTCTCCCAGGCCCAAGCTGGTCTGGGGCCGTCCATGCTTCCTGAGAGCTAGGGACCGAGCCACGGCTGGGACATTCTAGCCTGGGCATGAGTAACCACCTCCCTCTACAGAGTGCCCTGTCCATGTCTCCGAGCTCCTGCATCCCGGACTCTTTTCCTCATCACTGCCAGTCTTACTCCGCCACCAGTCTCCAGGGCCGGCCGGACCCACATCTATGAGGAGTGTGTGACGTGCCTGTGTGAAGTGTCCGCACGTGAGGACCAGTTTGTGGGCCGAATGCGTGCCGGACCCGCCAAGAGACCTCGCGGGGATCCCTGGCCCTCGCTGGGCCCGAGTTCCCTGTTGAAATGAGCAGGGTGGACTCATTGACTTCTGGTGCCTGCCAGCATGAACATTCCTGAGGGTGCACACTTGCCACCCCCCACCTCCCACAAAGCCAAACACCCCAACCCTCCATCCTGGGGGTCAGCTGGGACCTGAGATTCCAGTCCACATACCACACTCCAGGCGTTCAGCAACCATGCCCCTTCCCCAACTCCAGCATGTCTCAAAAGGCTCGCTGCCTGGGCCTTGACTTGAGAGACAGCAGGGACACGGGAAGACCAGCACCCACAATGACCCCCGGAGCTGCCTGGGACCAAGGAGGCAGAGAGGGCAAATCAGCACTGTGCTGAAGATTGCCAGGTCTGTGCCGAAAACAAGGCACAGTTAGGGTCCCCGGGGGACCCTGGAAATGACAAGAAGCCTCGGAGGGGAGCTGAGAAAGGGGTACAAGAGGTGGGTACTCTGAGGGTTGTCTTCTCACCTTCCAGCTGCCCCATCCCTGGGGTCTGGCTTGTCACTGCCCAGGCCCACTTAGCTCAGTGTCTCTGCCAGTGGGCATTGAAGTGCTCAAGGAGTGAGGACTCTGGCCAAGACAGTGATGGGTGAAGGGGGTAAAGAGGGTGGCACCACCCCCTGCCCCGGGCCCCCAAGGAGAGGGACTGTGCTCTCACTACGGTACCAAAGATGTAATCACCTAGGTTTACAAGTATTTTTAGGACTCACAATAACTCACATTTATACAACAGACGTGCTGTTTTATACGCCATCAGAATTTCCTATCCGTGTACTATTTTGTAAGGGGAAGATTTTAATATTAAACTGGTGCTTCTCACAGACTCAGAGATCTCTGGCGGCGTTGGGTCCTTGCGTCCGGTTGGTGGCAGGAGTGGAATGGGGCCAACAGGCCTCACCCCAGCCACAGGGACCCCACGAAGGTCCTTTCAGCACTGAGTCCGGCATTTTCACCCCATCACACCCCACCCTACCCTGTGCTGTTAGCTGGGTGACCTGGTTCCTGGGCTTCGGTTTTCCAAGTTGGGAAAGGAGAGGGCTCCTCTGGCTCTGCAGGTGCCTGGCCCCGGGTGGGCAGGACTGCTCACAGGCTCAGAAGCCTGAGCCCCTCCCACCGCCCCACCCCACCCCACCATGTGCTTTGGCTTTGGCTATTAATCTCCCCGCCCACCCAATCCCACCCCCGCCTCACCCTCCCATTCACTCTGCCTGGGGCCGGATTGCATCCACTCTGGAGAGGCGGCCACGACAGCCCAGGATCCAGGCCCCGTGAGCAGTGGTGGGGTCCCAGGTAGGAGGAGGGCAGACAGAGCACCCAAGGGGACAGAGCAGGAAGAAGTGAGGAGACAGGGTGAAGGAGAGAGGAAGAGGAGCGAAGAAGGATGTTGGGGACGTGCAGCCAGGGTGAGGCCAGGGGCGGGAGAGGGGCCTGGCGGTGGCTGTGAGGGCAGGCTCGCCAGGCTGGGCAGAGGGGTGCACACCTGGTAGGCCCTCTGCCCCTTAGTGGTGTGGGGCTGCCGGGAGCCAGGCGCCCCGGTACCTGTTGGTCAGCTCAGTTCCTCCCATCGGCTGCACTGCCCGCCCCAACTGGGAGACCCTGGCAGAGGCAGGGGCCAGAGGCCATGGAGCTACCAGAAACAGGGGGCCAACTGAGGGGTCGTGGGCCCAGGTTGGGCTTTCCTGGGCCTCCCACCAGGGCCGTTTGGGAGAGGTCATCTGAGGGGGAACCAGGTTTGTGACGTGGCCGTCCCTCGCTTTCTCTGAGCTGGGGAGGGGCATCTTGTTGGGGGAGGGTACCTTGTTTTGGAGCCTCTTCCTGGACTGCCTCCAGGAGTCTGGGGCTGTGGCTGTTCTGGGGAGAGGAAGGGAGACAGGGCAGCTCTGACTCATGTCCCAGACCAGCCGCCAACTCAGGAGCAGCTGAGCTAGGTCAGGGGGAAACCCCGCCAGAGGCAGGGCCCAGCCAGGCCAAGCCCACCCTCCCAGGGTCCTGACTTCAGAAAATTCCAGAACCCGTGACCCCTTCTCTGCTGGCAGTGCTAGCCGACGAAACGTATCCACCCTGCGACCCTGTGAAGAGAATAAACAAGCACATTCCAGACAGGGATTACCCTCCCTCAAGGAAAAAGCCTGTCTGGAGGGCAGGAGGCCTTGCTCCTGCCGCCTCAGGCTGCTCCTTACTGGATCTGGGCCGATCACCTCGGCAGGCCTCCTTTACCCCAGCAGTAAGTGGAGCTAATGATGTAGAGATCAGGCATGATAAGACACAGCTGAGCACTGCTGAGCAGTTACTATGTTCCAAGGCTGTCCTGCCTCATACACGTTTTCTCATTTGACCCTCTCAGGAACCCTATGAGCCAGGGACCACTATTATTCTCATACTAGTGATCCAGTTGCATGGATTGGTGCACACTGAAAGGAAATTAATTAGAAGAAATATTTTAATATCGCTAAAATATTTAAATTCTCCCTTTCTCTACAATAGAAATGTCAACCAAATCCTCAATTGACAATGACAGATGGAAACACATGTGTGCGATTGGCATCATTTGGTTAAAGTGTAAAATGTTTACACCTGGCTATCATGCAAGTTGTGTTCCTGGGCTGAAGGAATTACAAAGAGGCTAGTCACTAGGGAGAGGAAGCTTGGTGTTGCTACATGACATCATTACCCATGCCCACAGCCACTGTTTCTGGGCTGGGCTGTGGGCCACATTTTGTGTGTTAGAGTCTCAGCAGCGTTGGTTGCAATTTGGTGAGTTGTCACTCCAGGATGGTGGTGGGACCTATGTCCCACTTGAGGGAAGCTGAGTGTTGCTTTGTGGGTGCCAGATCCAAGGTGCTGTTTCTTTGTAAATGGCCAGTGTGCTTTATGGCAGCTGCTACATTGAGCATCTGTCCCTTGGTAGTCAGTGGATGGTCAGAGGAACACTTAGCATGTTAGCCTTTTATATACATTGAGTAGCCAGATTATTATGATCTCTGAACACATAAAAATCTGGCCACTCAGTGTATTTATATCTCAAATGGGTACCAAAGTATTCTAGACTTTTGCTGGACATCAACCACCTATTTGCCCTGAGCTTTCTATCAGCCAGTGCAAAGGGGAAAACTGATCAGTGCACAATTTATAGTATCTTTGATATCAAATAAATGAGGTACTTAAGAGAAGTACACTGAGTGGACAGATTATTATGCATTCAGAGATCATAATAATCTGGCCACTCTGTATATAGACTAGAGGTCCCACTCACAAAATCATGCAAGGGTAAGGCCTTCACAGCCACAGCAGCTGCCTCGGCCCTCCAGCCCCATCTTCACCCGAAGATGGTCTGGATGATCATCCACTGTTTGGCAGTTCGGTCAATTTGCATATTATGCTTTTATTATAGATTACAAAGGAGAAACCAGTTGAGGGAAGTTGTGAAGTGTCTTCTCAAGGTCATCTGGTCAATATGAAAAGGATGGGATAGGGGCCTGTCCTGGCCAAGTCCCATGTCATTGCTCAGGGAGGTAAAGCACCCAGCCAAGGTTCTAGGGCCAGGGAGTGGAGAAGCCTGGGTCCCAACCTGTCTCCTGACTCCAGGCCTCCCTGGTGCTGTGTCCCCAAGAGAGAAGTAGGAACATGCTGGTAAGAGGAAGGAGCTAAGTGAATCTGAGGGCTGGATAAAAAGAATAAAAAAGAGTTTGCTGACGTGTTTGGACCTCACAGCCCCCTGTGCAGAGGGGATGGGAGCTGGAGGGGTAGGGGGAGCTCCTGCCTCCCCATCTGCCTCCCCAGCTGGCTCCTGCCTCCCCATCTCACTCAGGCAGGCCCACGGGAATGGGTGAGCTGGCATTTTCCTCCCAGACAGATGAGCCACCTGAACTGCACTGTTCTTCCGCCAGCCTATTCACAGCCAGGCCCTTGTTCCTGGAAAAAGAGGGAAAGAAACTGCTGCTCCTGGGCCCGGACCTTCAGCGGATAAGGTGCCTTCCAACCTCCCATTTATGTCCTTTTTTTGAATTAGGGCTCTGTCTCTGAAAGTCCTCTTTTATTTTAGTTTCTTATTCAGCATCAAAATAATGAAAAGTTACCTTTATAAAACATGCAACATTTGCCTGCATTTAAAATATCCACTACCAAGATACA